CCGCGAACATCAGCTCCATGGGGCCCGCACCCCTCGGGGCCGGGTCTCCCCCCGCGGATCCGGGGCCTGGGCCGCCGGCCGGGGACTGAGGGGAGGCCCGGGACCTGAGGGGCGAGCCGGGGCTGGGGGTGGCCGGGGCGCTCAGGGCGGCCGTGCCGGGCGAGGATCTCGGGCCTGGGAGGGACGCCGGGACAGGCCTCACCCAACAGCGAGGTGTGAGCGGGGATTGTGGCCAGTCTGTGAGACTCGAGGCCCAGACGAAGCGCTGGGCGGCCAGGGCCTCTAGGCGGCTGCGGCGCCGCCTCCCCCATCAGCTGATCCGAACTTCCGGCCGCGCCGGCCATCACCACTTCCGCCCTCGCGTGCTCCGGGCCTGGACCGGGTACGGGCGGGTGTAGGGGACACGTGTGTGCACTGCCTGCTGTTTTCTCGAGCCTACCCTCACCCACAGCTCCCAAAGGAATACTAAACAGCCACAGATTCCAGCAGTTACTTGATGCCCACAATGTCCCCAAGGAAGAAACAGCCGCCATTCACGTCGAGAATCTCAGGCTGTCAGGGGATAGTGCAAGTGACCATTGGCTAGGTTATTGTCACGCCCCGGGATAGCCTGAGCCCGCATCGCCTTCTGGGAGTTGCAGTCCAGAACCTAAAATCCAGCCACTTTCTAGAGTCTAAGGGGGAGCGCCAGGAAAGAAAGCTTGTCTTTTTCTTCGATACTGCCTTTGAATCTAAAGATTTTTAGTGTGTGTGTGTGCGCGCGCGCGCGCGATGTAAGCCTTTTATCAGTCTAGGGAAGTCCATGGGTGCCCTCCACCTCGCCTGATTGTTTATGAATTACACACTAATTAGGTTTAAATACAATTACAAAGACTTTAATAAAACAAACTTGTAACATAGTACTGTTTATTTGTACAGTAAACGCCAAGACCGGGCAGAGTATTTAATTAATTGATAATATTTACCTAGCATTTACAAGTCCCTGGGTTCTATGCCTAGCCACCCCCCCCCAATTATTTCATATGGACACTAATGCTACTGTCGATTGTTTCCTATAACTTTGATTGAAATGCTAAATTTCAGCTATGGTTAGATGTATTTCTCCTCATCCCAGTTAACAGAATTCTTACCACACTACTGAGAATCTACTGACCCTAGGTTTAGACTCCTTAATCTAAAATTCTCAAAAACTGAATTTCTTCATATAACTAAAAGATCCAGCTTGCAGAGCCAAGCAGTTGTAGCGGAATACACAATTATGGGAAAATGTAGCTATTGAGGGTCACGGAGGAAAGACCCTTCTTTACTTCAGTAATTATCACACTAGACCACGTTTAATGCTATCAACTAGAAGGAAAGGGTTAGCTTATGCCTGAGGAGGCAGAGCATAGGTAAAACCCTACACAATGACTCCTACTATTAGGGAACAGTAAATACCTTCAGCAAGCAGTAGACAAAGAGAAGAAAAACCCAGTAATACAATGAGGTTAATTCTCTGCTGAATCTTAGCTCTACCATGTGGGAGGATTAGTGGGAAGACACTGGGCTATTAGGACAGATAGATGATAATCAGCTCTGCCCAACTATTTAGTAAGAGAAAATAGTTCCAGGAGGGTGTGTGGGAACAGATTTTATCTTTAATTTTGGACTGTAGTCAGGTAAATATTAAGTTTATAACATAGCACTGCTTATTGGTAATTAAGCAAGACCAGGAAGAACATTTAATTCGTTGGTGATGTTTGCATCCTTAACATTTATTTTTATTTTATGTGCTGCATTGTTTTGTCTGCACATCTGTGTGAGGATGTCAGATTCCCTGGAACTAGAGTTACAGACAGTTGTGAGCTGCCATGTGGGTGCTGGGGATTGAAGCTGGGTCCTGCAGAAGCTTAGCCAGTGCTCTTGACCACTGAGCCATCATCTCTCCAGCCCCAATGTTTGCACTTTTTAAAGCAACTTTTTTTTTTTTTTTTTTTTTTTTTTTTTTTTTTTTGGGTTTTTTTTCTTCCTCCTGTTCTTTTTTTTTTATTGGTTGTTTTTTTTTTTGTTTTCTTTTTTTTTTTTTTTTTTTTTTTTTTTTCTGGTTTTTTTTTTTTTTTTTTTTTGTTTTTTTTTTTTTATTTTTTTTTTTTTTTTTTTTTTTTTTTTTTTTTTTTTTTTTTTTTTTTTTTTTTTTTTTTTTTTTTTTTTTTTTTTTTTTTTTTTTGGTTTTTCAAGACAGGGTTTCTCTGTAGCTTTGGAGCCTGATTCTGGAACTCCCTTTGTAGACCAGGCTGGCCCTAAGCCAGTGACTTCTATCAGGCCTGAGTCAGTTACCACCACTGCAGCAGGCCTGACCCAGACAAATCTGTGGGATTATGCCTGAGCCAGTGATATCAGTGGGAGTAGGCATGAACTAGTGATATACATGGGAGCAGGCCCAAATGACAGAGATCTGCCTGCCTCTGCCTCCCAAGTGCTGGGATTACAGGCGTGCGCCACCACCGCCCGGCTTTTAAAGCAACTTTTAAAAAAAGATTTATCCTTTTGTTTTTTGAGACAAGTTCTTTATGGCCTTGGTCAGAGGTCTGTCTGCCTCCTAAGTCCTGGGATAAAAGGCAGCATGTACCACCATACAGGTTGATTTTGTTTGCTTGTTTAGTTTTTCAAATCAGGGTTTCTCTGTGTATCTTTGTCTGTCCTAGAACTCACTCTGTAGACAAGGCTGGCCTTGAATTCACAGAGATCCACCTGCCTCTGCCTCCCAAGTCCTTGTATTAAAGATGCGTGCCACCACAGCCTACCTACCATACAGGTTTTTATCGTGTGTATCTGTCTGTAAGTGCACTTGAACAGGATGTCAGGTCTCCTGGAGCCAGTTATAGGCAGTTGAGGTACTATGGTTACTGTGGAACCCAATGCCAATCCTCTGCAAAAGTAGCAAGCACCCTTAAATGTTGAGCCATCTTTCTACCTCCCAAAAACTATTCTTTTTTTTTTTTTTTTTTTTGG